ATTTTTCACACTGGTCCTCCACATGATCCATTATGCCACATAAGAAACAAGTGAGTGGCAATTTTTCGTATCGAATATCAACATTCAAAGTTCGACCTTCTAATTGCAATGCCACGTAACGTCTCAGAGGTTTTCAATTATCCAATTAGACCCTAATTTTGAGAATGCTTCCAAACTGTTCCTTCTTTCTACTCTGATCAGTGAGTACATAATCCCTCAAGTGGTTGCCTAGAAACTTCCCCATTTGGCGTGTCATATAACAGAACGGTAATCCCTTCATTGAATCTAAAATTCCTGATGAAACAGCGGAACCCTCATTGGATTGGTCATATTATCTGCCTCCACAATAACCAAAAGGAACTATTTATTAAATAGTCAGGCCCCCCCTCTGAGGATGGTGGTTTGCTCATAAAGAGAGTTGAATCTGAAAGCAAAGCGATCATCTTCGAGATCAAATATCAACACATGCGCCTTAGGGCGCCATAAATTCCTCATCTGTCGCTTAAAGCTTTCCTTGTTGATTGGTTTAGAGGACAAAAATTTGCCCACCAGAAACACCTTGACGATTTCAAAGATCCCACATCTTGTTTGTCAACCACGATGACTTTCAGTTCCTCCTCTGTAATAGCAAACTTCCCTGAGAATTTTGAAACTATTTCTTCCATTGTCATCAGTCCTGTTGTAAGCCAAGACCAACCCCACATGCACACTTTGAGACACCTTATTGAGAATTGCAGGACTCTCTCCCACACCATTAGACAACTGGAGCACACCCAGCCCTCACGCCTGCCTCCTCACCAGAAAAAGCAGTCTGAATCACCGAAAACCAAGCTTTCCCGATATTCTCAGTCGTCGCTCTTCTAGGGTTTGAGAAGAAAACCTAGAGAGCCTTATTGGATTTTATGCCATGTTAGCTGCACTGATATTTGCACTACACAGAAAGAATCTATGTAGTTTTTGAGCTTTCATTCCTTGAAACAGCACCATATGAGTGAAAGCTGACCAAAAAGACCTAAAAGATGACTAAAGCAAAATCAAAGGAGATCATTCATATGGAGTGGACCCAAGAAATGAGGAAGGCAAGATCATCTATCACCATCAAGAGGAGCAAAGAGAATCAAAGGAGATCATTCATATGGATGAGGCCAGGTCCACGGACCACACCCCTTTCTCACTATTATATTTGGCTTGAAAATGAAGTGAGATGAACCTTTTTTTGATTCGTAACAACAAGGGCAAGAAGTGGTAACGTGTATGCAATCTTTAGTGGTCCAAAAACCCAAACAACAAAGGGTGAGACCGATGAGTCCTGACATGTTTGGTGCGATTTAGTCTGGTCTTTACCAGTTGTATATCGGTGGAAACATGAACTAGGTGGTCCGGAAATGTTATTTGTGGATTTAGTAACATGCTGCATAACCCCAACCGATCAATCATTTCCTTCTAGTTAATCCATGTACTTATCTTTCTTTGGTTATACTTTGGTTTTTGGTTTTCAGTTTCATTTTTTAGTTCAAAAGATGACAAGGCGATACATAGGGAAGAATAGAGAGAACAAGGAAGGAGGAAGGGGAGAGATGGATTCGGGACAGAATATTACCTAAATAAAAAGAAAAACTAAAAACAATTCCAAATAGTTTTTACTTTTGAGTTTTTGTTTCATGCATTATTCTTCATTTCACCATTTCTCTCTCCCTCATTCTATTCGAAAACAAAATGTTGCCAAACAAGCCCAAAGATTCTCCCTATTTATATGTTCATTTTCTGTCTAGGGTTGCTAAGAATTCAGCTGAGAAGTAAAGTCCCCTTCTCTGTTATAGGCACCTACAAGGGTAGTTGATGTAGATTCATATATATGAACATGTAGAGTCCCTTCCATTGAAGGATACTCAAATAATAATAATTGATCAACACCTTGTGGTGCTTATTCTGTAACTTTTCTCAATGATTTGAATCATCTATACTTTGATACATCATTCATTGATTATTCTTGCAAAAAATTAGACAAATTTAAAACCATTCAAACATCCAATTGTAGTGAAGCAATAGAAAATAGACAAATACGATTTTTCAAAGGACCACTAATATGATTACCACTTAATCCAACTGTCAAATGGTTTCAGATTTTGATAATTTTTTGTACAGATGATCTTTGAGGGAAGACCTAAGAGATTGATAGTTAGATCGTTGGAATATGATGTGGAGTGAGGTGTGTGACATTTTTGTGTAGAATTATCCATCCCTGTATCATGTCTTTTAAATTAGTACGAATAAGTTACTGATCTAAAAAGGATAAAAAGTAAACTAAATAAATCGATAAAATCAGATCACGGAATAAATAAGTGATTTACTTGAACAACGGATGATTAAGAGATTGTTCAAATGTTCTTGCTTTAGCTATTTTAACCCAAAAAACAACTTGGTGAATAGTCACTAAGCTAAATATTAAACTCTCACTGCTCTCTCTTTAGTAATAAAAATATTCATGGTTTGTTAAAGGGCAATTAACTGGAATGATTATTTTTTTATATTTAGTTGCAAAATTATCACTTTCAATAATGATGATATATTTATTATATATCGATGACACAATGATAAAATAACGATCACACAACACAACGATGACAATATGTAAAAGTTGATAATTTCTGCAACTAAATGTAAAAAACTGACCATTTAGCTAATAGCTCTTTGTTAAAATAGCTAGTGTTATTGGAGATCCAAAGATAAACTGGCCAGCCAATACGGCTTTACTTTTCTATTCACTGCTAAATTAACCTAAAAGGCTCTTGAAGAAGGTTTTTTTTATTTTTGAACAAACGATATTATTTACACTAAGGAAATATTTTCTTCCTATTAACTACATTATCAAACAACATTTTACCCCAAGACTTTGGCATATGATAATTTAGAAAATGGTAGTAAACTGAATGGAAATTACACAAAACTACCTCAATTATGAGTCGAATTACAATCTCATACCTCATGTCTTAAACATTGCAATGTCATACCTCAACTTATGAATTCATTGCAATGTCGGACTTCCGTTAAATTTTCTGTCAATTTGACTATTAAATGATGTCGTGGTAGAAACCGGGCCCATTCCTTTACCAACTGGAATAAGAAATTAATTAATTATTGATAATTATTAAGTTTTATTTAATAATTTAAAATTAAGTTAATTTTAATGAAAAGCTCATAACACTGTTTACTTTAACGAAAAACCACATTTTTACACTAAAAGGTCAATCCTAGTACTATGTATTTTACCTTTTATTTTACACTTATGGTTAAAATTAAAGTTTTCAAAATCATTTTCATTAGTTTCCATAAAATTAATTCATTATTAATTTTAAAAAATCTCTCTCTCTCTCCCCAATTTCCTATCGTCTCCTCCCCTCAGTCCTTCCTATCGTCTCCTCCCCTCACACCTTCCTCCTCCATCACTCCCTCCTCCTCCATCACTCCCTCCTGCTCATACCAGCCCATCCCAAACCGAATCCTACTCTGACTCGCAGCCTCCTTCTTCCCCCCCACTTCTCGACCCTAAACTTTGATCGCCGACGCCCAGCCTCGACAAATTACTCAAGCCAATGCTGACCCTTTGTCACCACTAAACCCAAAGAGGCTCTCATGCGGCAACGGCCCCGATCTCATCTTTATGCTATTCCACCCCAGCGAAGACGCCAAAATGGGAGACATCCACAGACGACTTCTTCGTAATCGCGCCGGTCGAGCTCTCGGAATCTGCCTATTGAATCCACTGCCACCACCAGAACTGGTACCGAGTGAGTCGTCTTTGGATGTGGATTTGGAATTCTGATTTTGCAGGGAAGGAGGCATAAGGGGAGGAGACGATCGGAACTCAAGGGAGAAGATGAAGATAGGCATTTTGGGGAAAAGAGAGAGAGACAGAGAGAGATTTATTTAAGTTAATTTTAATTATTAAAGAAAAATTAATAATTTATTAATAATTAAATAATTTTCAATTACTTTTAATTAATTAAATAAAAATTAATATTTTTTAATTAATTAATTAATTTTTTATTCGAGTTGGTATAGGAGACATCATCATTTAATAGCCAAATTAACAGAAAATTTAACGAATGTATACATTGCAACAAATTAATAAATTGAGGTATGATACATTTGAATGTTTAAAACATGAGGTATGAGATTGTGGTTAGTTCAACCTATAATCGAGATAGTTTTGTGTAATTTATCCTAAATGGGTAAACTAAGGGAAATTTCAATGGATGCACCTGACTATCACATGTATAATTATCAGCACTCTTTGTTTTTGCATAATTATCATCAGGGTGTCTCATCAAATATTTATATTATTCCTCTCAAAAGGTGGCTAGGTCGGTCCACGGGGAGGCTCATGGCCACTATCCGTCATCTAGTGCTTGCCTGAACTTGTCTTTCAGCTCCATACATCGGAAGGACAACTTGCATTCCATCATCAATCTTCAAAACATGATTAGGCAATTTTTCCTTCCCATGACAACTGGTGGCTATTAACATTTGATATTGCTTGTGTCAACACTTGTCTTTCACTTCAATTGTGTGTTGTTTGGGGGGGGGGGGGGGTGCAAAGTAGGGGCGGATCTATAAGGACCACCCAAAAGCTCGGATAAGTGGCTGTGAGGACCTTCGATGACCACCCAAGTCCAGGCCGATAAGGGAGGAGAGGAGCAACTACAACACTCTTTTTGTAAAAGAACAAAAAACTTACGTGTCACTGAGTTGTATCATTTATGCGTCATATTTCTATTCTCGTGACCTGGCACGGAAGATATGAAATTAGAGTGTAGGGTTTAGGATTAGGGTAGGAGGGAAATAAAAACAATGAAGATATTTGGGTATATAGGAGAATTTGTTTTATTTCATACTATGTTGCAGGTATACAGACAACACATATATATAAAATGTTATGTACTTTAAGAGAGTAGAAAAATATTCTGGTAGTCACTGCATTAAGTAAACTCTTCCAAGAATCAAATGAGTGATGTTTCATTCACCATCTCCATCTTTAAATTGCTACCTTCAATGGAACCTGCAAAAATAACATAAATGAGAGTAACTCTATAGCTAATTTTCCCTTAGTCCGGATTGAAATATCCGACAAGTTTTATTGAGTCCCATTGTTAGCATACTATCCTTAGTTTTGTACGTTTTCTTATTTTTCAATAAATATCGGACTTCAACTCAAAAAGATACAACAGAAAAAAAAAAAAATGATTGACCAATCAATTGCACCATCATTATTGATTGAGTGAATTGGAGCCTAAACTTTCTCTTGTGGGGACCATTTCATTTGACTAAGACTTGATATACACCATCACCATTATGTGGATTACAGACTCAAATTGCACCAGACCTTTAACTGCTCACCCTTTCTAATCCATAATGTTTAGGCAAGATCGTAATCATTCAGAGAAAAAGAAGAAAATCTTTACTTTTGATTGATTTAGGAGCAAAAGCATGATAACCATTCATTTAGAAAAAATATTCTTTTCAACAAAGCGATATTCCAAGCTATGCTAATATACGCTAATCTGGAAAGTTTTTCTTCGCCCAATTAGAAAGGACCTAAATTCCTAAGCAAAATATTTAGACATTTGTGGGTCTATGTGGTCCATAATCTCTATCACAGGTAGTTAAACCTAATAATCTTATCTTACAGGAATGGAGTTATGGGCATTGGTATGAGAATGCAGGAGAAAGATTAGTTCTATCTACCTGTACATGGTTGCGATTGAAAGGATGATCTTCCTTGTTGAAATTCCACATTGAAAATGTTCTGTAAACCAGCATCCCAAATTGCCGTAGGTTGGGCTTGCTGCAAGTGGCATATACTATTTTCGATAAAAATATTGCTAAAATTTTACAGGTTCCATATAACTGACACAAGAGTTTAAAAACATTACAGTGAAACAGGATGTGTCAAGAAATGGTTCGGGGGGGATCGAACCAGGAGCGCTTATGGTTCTTCGAAGCGCCAAATCAGTGGAATTTAACCCCATATCCAACCCACAAGATGCCAATTGTTGCATTGGATTCAACTGAAGATACGCAGAATTGGTCATTTCTGATGACATACCAATCGTCTGAAAATTGGCCCCGCATGTAGGAAACATCTGCTGATTTGAAGCGAAATAAGAGTATAAGTAATGGAACTTTGGACAAACAATTCTTCATTAGTTCGCCAAAAGAGTAAAAACATTATTCTCTTAATGAACATTTTTTTTCCTGTTAAGCCATTTCAAGCAAGTTTGCACATCAAATTTTTAAGAACTACAGGGATGGTAATTGGGATATCTATAAAAATCAAGGTTCTAAAAGACGTTGGACGCTAGTTGGGTAACGGGTTAGGACCTAGCGCCTAGGCGGTTAGGCGGGCATTAAGTAGACCAGGCAGATTTAAGTAAATTTATTTATTGTATCAATAAATGCCTATTTATACTTAAAAAAAAAAACACATAATTGTATTGAGATACATACACTGCATAATAAACAGA